ATCCAGTGTCTTGGCGTTTCGCTGACGAGAGTGCAACAATGTCGAGTTGGTACTCTATGGCCTCATCAACTAACTCTTGTCTTTTTCTTCTGAGTGAGGATAAGTTCCAATTTCCGATTTTGAGCTCCCACTGGTGGTCTCGTTTTCGTGGAGCCTTTTCTGACGTGCTGTATTGGCATCGCGCTGTCTGCCTCCTCCATTTAGAATGGGTAGCGACTCTGTTGCTGACCTGTATCTTCGTCGTCGTTCCTTCGGTCTTGGTCAGCCGTTGTTATGCTGACCCCAGCTGGCAGAGGTCGATGAACAGGATTTGATCGCCGACTTTTCACAGTCTGCCTCAGTACCTCAACAGCCTGCGCGGCGCTTGGTAATCCGGGCGACGACCGAGCCGGTATAAATTTCAATGCCATCAATACCAGGAGTGGCAGGGGGCTTAATTTTATGGAAACTGTTCACAGTCTCCAATTCTCCTTTCTCAACCGGGCTTGGGATGGGCAACGGCGGAGGTCGAGAAACTTTAGCAAAGAAAGTACTTGCGATGAACCCAATTTTGTTTCCATTTATTTGTTTAGGTCGATTTTCAGTCAACTCTAGGGGGTGAAAACAAATGGGAGCCATGAAGAGATTACATCAGACAGCACAGTCGTCAGTATCACGAAACACTGGAATAACGAAATCGGAGCACAATGGAGTTTTCGCTGTTCACAGATACTGACTGTTTCTCCGCTCACTGGATCGAAGCACGGCGGACAAGGGGATTACCAGACAATTTATATATCGTTACAATTCGAAATTGTACCTCCAAAATTTTGTGCGGAAATTCTACGACTCCCCCCCCCCTTTCGTCAAGGCTAATTTTGAGTTGCGTTATTGGTTGACAATGTGCTTAAAGTGCTAGTCATAATGTATACTTTTCAATTTAATTCTGAAGCATTATGTTTCAAGACAGGTCTGTCTTGTAGGAATATAGGTCATTCTCTTGACCATATCAGACCATCGTGCTGGACGCTATGCAGTTTGTCAGTGAGAGTACTGATTGATTCAATTAATCTTAGACCGCAGGACGCCAACAGTCTCACATAGATTTAACTTTCTACTATCACAGAAGTTTTGTTGCTACACGAGGAAAGTTCATCGTCCATCCTGCAAGAATCAAGCCGTATAAAAAAGAAGCCATACTTCAATAAGTCCTATACATATAGATCCATTGGCCCAAACAGTCGACTACTCGTGGTCAGTTTTACTGCTGTAATGGTGGGCATGGCTGTGTACTAACGCAGGACCTTCTAACTTAAAATGAACATATAATGAAAATACTGGAAACATCAACTATAACAGCGACCAACTGTAAATAGACAATGCATCTGCAGTATCACTTACCTCAACTCGATTTCAAGGTCTTCCTTCACCTTGCGGTACTCATTAATCTGATTGCGTAGAAACACCAACTCTTTCGAGGACCCCTCATCGCTGATGGACTTTAGCAAAGTACTGTCTTGCAGGTGCTGTTTCGAAACGATATTCTCTCTATAAAACAGAAAGAATAAAAATTACAAAACGAATGTCTTCTACTCACATTGTTCCTAGAGATGTTCCTACATCTGCAAGGGGCATTGCTTCAATCTTGGACTTGTCTTCTTCGAATTCTGCTCTAGCTGCAACCATAAGACGAGTTATCATAAGCTACCACAATGTTCCTGACCAATTACACAGAAAACTTACCCGCAGCATTGGCTTGAAGCTCTGCTTTAATCTCACGAAGAGAATTCCGTTCGTTCACAAGCCTGTCGCGTTCCTGCTCCACCACCAGTACTTTTTCTTGCAGCTTCTGCAGTGCAGACTCAGCAGCGTCTGCTCTCTGAGTCTCTTCCATCACGCGAGCATCCAAATCTTGGAGATTTAACTTGTATGCTTCTAATTGTGCTTTAAGGGTCGAGCTTTTTCTCTGCTCCTACAAAACAGAAAGGAATTTGTCCTTTAAAGAACATTACTTGGAACACGATGAAGGCTATTAAGTAAATGGTAGATGTAAATGTGATCATAATGGAAGAAATCAAGAACAACCATAACTAAAGGAAGAAGATCAGAGGAACAATACTGCATTACCGTACAAAAAAGCAACGACACCCGTAATATGCATGGAAATTTGAAACAAGTCTGGTAAAGGCTCTTGGCTGTGACCTATTATACCTAACCAAAATTCCATAGTAAAATGCCTTCGGATTTTACTATAAGCTGCTACAAACGGCAAATAAGGGCAAAAAAGTAATGCTTTTTACTCATTTTTGGAGAAACTATTTTTTCGTAATGTTGGCTCACAAGCTAAAATACGGCTGAGTACAGAACACCAAATCCTCATTAGGAACCACAGTATGCAGAGTATATTAAGTAGATTCAGAAAAGAATTAGTCCGTCGT